CCCCAAAACCCCAAAACCCCAAAACCCCAAAACCCCAAAACCCCATTATAAAAAGTATTCTGGTAAATATTTATATTAAATATGAATAAAGGCCCTAAATACACCAAAATTCATTATGGAAAATTCTTCCTATTTTCCCTAATGATACTATTTTACACAATGCATGTTGAGGCACAGGAGGATGAATACTGGAACATGGGTTTAGGAGAAAGAGCTGCAGAGTTCGGATTAGGATACGAAGAACATCAAGTGACTACTGAGGATGGTTATATATTGACCTTAATGAGAGTTCTACCAGGCCCTGAAAGCTCACAAGTTGGAGGTAATCAGCCAATATTGTTATCTGCTCCCTTTGGTCAAGCTGGTGAATCATTCGCCACACTTGATTCAATTGACTCTCCTGCTTTTTATCTTCCAAATGAAGGAATGGATACTTGGTTATTCAATATGAGAGGTTCATCACTTAGTCGCGAGCATGAGACCCTTGACTCACATACAGATGATGAATACTGGGACTTTTATTTAGACTCAATAAGATATGATTATATGGCTTGTGTACAGTTTATCCTTGATACCACAGGTTTTTCTACAATGCCAGTATTTGCAATGTCGTTTGGAGCAGCTACTTTTACGACTTCATTAGCTCTTGAACCAGAATTCTTCTCTTCAAGAATATCGATAGCAATATTGGCAGTCCCAGCTCTTAATTTAGGCCACACAAATACTCTCCTATATGCTTTCCTTGGAGATTATCCATTCGTCCTCGAATCATTAAGGAGGGCAGGAATAAATGTACTCCGAGAAGACAACCCAGTAATCTCTGATATTCTCTACAGAGTTTCTAGCTTCTTAGAACCTCTCACTTTCGAAATCGGTGGTGTTTTCATGGGAGAGAATGCGCCATCTCTTCTCGACCCTGATGGTGCTAGCTTCCTTGCTGCTAAGGCTCAAAACGGAGTTGGTAATAGAGTTATGCAACACTTATTCCAAAGTACTCGGTCTAATGATCTCACTTACTTTGACTATGGAACTGAAGAAAACCTTGTAGTATACGGAACAGAGACTCCTCCTGAAATCCCATTAGAAAACATCAATATTCCAATCGCTTTAATGTTTGCCGAGGAAGACAGCACTATCACCGAGCCAGATCAGCAATGGGCCAGAGAAAAGCTGGCTGACAACGTCGTCTTTGATCATGTCTACGAAGGGTAAGTTTAGATCTATTTGATCTCTTTTCCTAACTTGATTATTAATCTATCAAAAATATTTTTAAACCTTTACTTCTAAATATCCTTAACCTCTTATAGATATTCCCACATAGCATTCTTGGGCGGAGTCAGAACTGAAGACTTCTTGGATGATATACTCGAAATCACTGAAATGTACCCAGCAACCACTGCTAATGAAAGATAATTAACTTCTCATTTGGTGCACTTATAAATCTCAATTTTAAAAGCTTTTCAGGGGTTTTGGGGTTTTGGGGTTTTGGGGTTTTGGGGTTTTGGGGTTTTGGGG